CACCTGCCAGCTCTCACACAAAATGCGCGAGTCTCACCACTTTTTATGTCTCAAGCCTACTTATTATCTCACATTTCGTGTAAATTATATCAAATGTATAGTTCGATTATACCCTAAAATTCATAAAAATGAAGTGAATTCATCATCGATATGTAAATACAGGCCATATAAAATTTCTTTTAACAAAGCTACAGTATACTGAGACAGACAAATGTAATCAGTAGCAGATCCACCGCTATAATTAAAAAAGAATAACGTAGAGGGCGCTCTATTTCGTGATTTTGACATATTTAATTTTTTTTGTCTTGAGTATCAGACGCCAGCAAAATTGGCAGGTATACTAAAGCCAAAGATATGAAATGCTTGATTACATTTTGAGTACGCCCCATTTACTTGCACTGAATTCGTTTGAAATAAGATACGAAAAGATAAGACACGTTTATGAATGCAGAAGCAACTGATGTGGAAAGAGTAAACAGTGTCCATTCAATATTATCATAATCATGCAGAAGTCATAGCTTTTGACTAGAAAATGTACAATAATTAGATTTTGTGTGAGTGCAGTTACGATCTTGTACACTTTTGAAACCAGGGTTTTCATGGTCTTTAGCAGCCTTTTGGTCTCCAATTAGAGTAATAAAGATAAAAGACATTAGTTAATATCGGACCACAGAAAAGTGGTTTTTAGTTGGAGAAGTCTTTAATTAGGTGGAGACCTATATATGTGGCAAAGACAAGCCAAACTAGTCACTCGTTGCAAAAATAGATTTTGAGTTATTAATACAGTGTTAGAGAGCAAAATAATAGCTATAATTTAAAATGGTAAAAAAATCATTCAAATCGGACATTTCCTTATGAAGTTAGAAGCGTTTAAACATACAGCTGTTTAAAGAACAATATATGAGAAATCAGCCTTCAAAGTTTATGATTTCATGCATTTCTCATGCAGAAACTATCATCAAATCCTTAAAAAGTGTTGTTTTAACATTGAAAATGGGGAAAATTAACAGCATAGAATGATGTATAGATGTAAAGATTAGTTTAGTGCAATAAAATAGATTTTTTTTAAATTTGATATTCCAGCATGTTTTGGCCATGATTTGCGACGTGTGACTGGTTTGGCTTGTCTTTGCCACGTATTTGTTTCAACATATTGATCTCAAAACACCACAAATGCATGTATCCTCCAGTATTGTATCTAGACTCTAAACAAGGTGGAAGGATTAACGTTGTGTATTATAAATTAACCTACTCTCCACCATGTTCGGAGCAAATTTCAAAAACGAGCACCTCTAAATTTCAAAAAATGGCATTCTTTAACTTAAAAAAAATACATTTTGGAAGCATTGATCTTGACAAAATAAATGAATTTTCCGACGGGGCCCTGTCTCTTCTAAACCCCTATTGGCGTCGTCACTACTTTACTTCGATTGTTTTCTTTATTTTTCATAATGTAGATATCCGAAATATACTTAAATTCAATTTTCTCTTAATCACAAATGTTATATCAATAAAACTGATTTAAAACACTTTGGATTGCCATGAAAAAACATAATAGGTCGACCAAGGTTACCTATAATTAGTAGCCTTCTACAAACACTGAAAACAAATATGTTAATTTAAGAGCTGTTACTCTCCCAACAAATGCCTATGTGTTGAAAACACATTGGTATAGCAACTGTCACTCTTATTTGTTTGAGTTAAGGCACCTTCATTAACCTAGCTGTTTGTCAACTGTTATTTGCTTAAATCCCAAAGGCTTACAATTAATTAAAGTATAATGATTGGTAAATATTAATGAGCCTGACGTGTAATATAATAGAACGTTGTTAATTGTATTGCCTAATAATTCAAAGCCTAACACAAAAGTACATGTTCAATAATTATAATTTTCTAACTTTTGAACAATAATTAAAATATACAATATTGTTGGAAGGTTTGCATGGCGAAGTAATAATATATATTTAATGCTTGCAGTACACCACGTAGATATAATATAATTATAATATAATTTTGTTAACTAGCACACCTTAAGTTTACATCCGTTGTGTTTGGCTTATTATCAATAAAAAGATTGTTTTTTTTGCAAAAATTTATATTAGTTTAGACATGAATTAAAACTAATAGATAATAATATTCTCTGTTAATTTATTTTGGGTAAATTTTATGTCAACAAGACATGCAATATAAATATTTTTTTAATGGTAAAAATTAATATTCTTTAATTAAAACTCCAAAAAAAAAAAAATCAATTTATGCTTTGTTCATAATATTATGAATTTTTTCTGTGGCAGTTATTTGATTTGCCCAAATATGGACATGATGGTATACTGTATCTGTACACCCATATGGTGAAATCATAAGTACTTATCACATAAAACCGGATAGTTTATACAGCGCCTTATAAATATTGTTCAATAACATTAATATTTTCCTGATTTATGACTCTCTCATTTCCCCTAATTTCTATGGAGTTTATTTTCATAGCTGTAAGTTATTAACCACCCACGGAACAGAGAGTGAGAATCTGATCATTCAACCCAGGAGTTAGAGAGTTCAACCTAAAACTGAAGTTTTTGCTTCATAGCGTCATTGTTATAAATACTTTTTTTTTCAAATAACATGTTTTTTCTTTCCTTTAGAAAGAACAATATTCTGGAGGGGTGTGGAGAACATTACATAACAATGTGCAACACTATTAGTTGTCAAGATTAAATTATACACCCAATATACAGCACATTACTAAAATAGCTTTGTATGCACAGTTTGTGATCCTTATATAAATGTGTATGGTTCAGTCACTGCTTCATCCCATAGTAAATACGGAATATAAAACACATTTCTTAAAAAAATGTTGTATAAGAGTGTTCCATCAAGCAAAGCTAAACCGTTGATCCCTTATTTTTTACCTTGACTTTTACAAAGATTAAACTTAAGACTTTATAATTTGAAGCTGGGCATCATAACCACCAAACCACTAATCTACTCCATAGCCTCACAGAATTACTGTAACTGCCATTGAAGTAGAAATAATTTTCCATGTCTCCTTGGATTTATCACATTCAGCTGAGATCTATTTCTTGTTTGCCAGGATTGAACCTAGTACTTTGTAATTTTAAGGCAGGCATCTTAACCACCAAGTCTCTAATCAACTCCATAGCTTCACAGCATTAACTGCCATTAGAAGTAATATAATTTTCCATGTCTCCTTGGATTGATCACATTCAGCTGATGTCAAATTGTTGCGGTTTTTTCCTATCAGATATTGACCTTGTTGCAGTAGCCATGGTATTACATTATGATGATAATCAGCATTGAACATCCAAAATGAGATTTGTAACTAAATGAATAAATGTAGAGCAGTGATGTAGTTACTATTTCGATTCATAAAGAAAAAAAAAGTACTTCAAAAAAAAGGGACTATGAGAATATTCAAAAGCATTGATTTTTGTATTATTTGTTTATTTATTTCAAACAGAAATGCTGTGTTCCCACTTACAGGCGAAAATTACAAAAATGGATATCAAAAATGTAAAATAAATAGACCTGCAAGTTTCACAAAATGTTATAATAAATAAATTTTTTTATAGTAACTAAATTAATTTACAAGTTTTTATCTTTAAATAAATTAAGAAAATAAAGTGTTTTATTTTATGTTTTAATTCGTCCAAATTATTAATTAATCCTGCAATTTCTTAAAGTAATTAGTATTATAAATTAGTATAAATAGTACCTTTAAGAAAAGATTTACATTATTTTTGGTTTACTTAATATTTTATTGTGGTTGTTTTATTGTCACTATTAATATTATTTTTATTGCTATTTGCCATCATTGTTAGTTAGAACAATGTTATCTTTAATGTTATTTGTTTTTGTTTTGCTATTAAGTAAATAATATCACAATTTTTTTTAAACCAAGTAGTAGGACAATTAAGAAGGAAAACTCAAGTCTTCCTGTTGAAAAAAAATTACATTAAAATTGAACAGGTTTATATTTTTTGAAATAAAGATTTTAGAACACAAGTTAGTGTAAATCGCCTTACAGTAATAGTGTTTGAATTTTTATAACTTGTTAATTCCTTGTTTAAACATAAATCATGGATATACAGTATGTCTGTCAAAGTTTCCTAAAGCTATCCCACAGAATATACTATATGCCCAAGCACATGATTATATAGTTACATATTTTAATGAGATTTTTTCGTATTTTGAGATGCCTTCATAATCTACCAATGTATGATAAATGAACGGACACCGATTGCTTATTATAAGCTGTCTTCATGGCTAAAAAAATACAATAAATCAAATTGATATAAAGGAAAACAAAACATAAGCAGGATTGTATGTATGTGGTTCCTAAGTTCAAATGATGTAGAAATCATCTATAATACATTAATGTTTTATCATGTGTAAAGCAAGTGGAATTGAAATGTAGGATGGAAAACTGGAAATTTAAATAAAACAGAAAAAAAATATTGTTGACACAAAAAGGTGGATAATAAGTAATTATTCAGAATTATTTTGAATATTTGGATTTCAAATTCAATATCATGTGATAAGTGATGGATCATCAGCAATTAGTCAGTGTTAAAAATGTTATTGCATGTAGTTAATGATATTGATGATAATCTTTATAACTTTAATTATTATTAATTTATATTTAATTATTGATTTAATTGATTTCATTATTTATTATGATGATGAAAGTACAGTGAGAGAGGAATAAATATTGGTTACAAAGCATTCATTGTTATTGTTTTTAAGACTAAGAGTAATACTGTAAGATTAGAATATTTTGTTTATACAACCACCAACAATATTTGAAAACAATTAAAACTGGTTTTCTGTATTTTGATAAAAGGTAATTATACAATATTGAATGTGTTATATCCAAATCCTCATTAAGTAAAATCACCAGATGTTATGTGGAATCCATCCCCGTTTCAGAATGGTCTGTTCCACTGATCATTCATGTTAATTGTGTTTCCTCTCTTGCATAGGCGATAGGCTTGATGCCGTCAGAGATAGGGCCAGCATAGGAGCATCTCTAAATTGGATCACGCCAAATCGACCAGCAAGCCTTGGTGCGATTTAATTGGATGATGGCAACTAAGATGAGGCTGGCAGCGCACACAGATCAGGAAAACTCCCAATTACGTAAGTACGGCCAAATTGTCATCCTCCATTTTGCCTCTTGTTTTTCATGTCTAGAAAAAAAAATCAGGATAAACAAGAGAAAGGATATGTGAGACTGAATCTTAGCATCAAACCAGCAGGATTTGTTTTGTTTCTATCAAGTTCAATGCAGTGAGTATTGATCCAAGAATTGGCATTGCATTATATTTTTTTTAATATGCTGTGTTTACATGGGACTCGGTCATACAGTATACTGCTATCAGTGGTGGCTCTAGAATATATTTTCTGGGGTGGGGGAGGGGCTGAGCTATCCAATGGGGGACTTGGGCTCATAGGCCTGAGCTGGGGGAAGGGTTTGAGAGGGTGTTCCCCCCTCTCAAATGAGATTTTTTATAAGAATAAGAACCTTTGGATAGCCAGAAATGACACTCTCTGATTGTGACAGACATGTGTTGGCTTGAAGTGGGCCTTTTATATATTTTTTAGACCAAATGTCGATGATCTCTGCCCAATGGTGGGAGGGGGGGCTTTACCTGTCCGGTGGGGGGCTTAGGCCCCTGCTGTCCCCCCACTGGCGCCGCGACTGACTGCTATTGCTTAACCAGGATTCTGTAGTGTCTCTAGCTTACCAATCCTAATATTATTTGTTACACTGTTTATTTATTTTCTATTCACAAAAACAGAAATTTCTTTAGTTCTGTTGAAAGTACATGTACATGGTGAAATATCTAAAAAAATAGATTACATTTACAGAAGCTACCAGCGTTAGAATAATAATAATAATTGTGCTCTGGTATCCATTCGTAAAGAGATTTATGGCGTACTGACACGACAGTGCGCTTCAAAACACCAAACTACACTCAATACTCAACATAAATTAGTTTGTTTATACCATTATTCAGGTTAACATCTATAGGTGAGTTCCTTTATAACAATTTTAACTGCTTAATTTAAATATGATTAGCTACATTAAAATTAATGTATTTTATATTGTTTATGAAAGATAAGAGATATATGAGGTATAGAAAAACAATTGTGTATCATGTGTATCATTGTTTGCTTACAGTAGTATGTTTTAACTCTGCTATGGTAGTTTCAACAAATCTAAAATAAAAAAAAAAATATTAGTATCTCGTCCACTTGCACATCCATTTTCTCTGCCTCACTAATTTTTTTTTTTTATTTCTTTTATATTACAATATATACGAAAATCTGACTATATCACTCATAAATGAATGGGCCCCCCCCCCTAATAATAATAATAATAATAATATAGAACTTAAATATTTAATAAAGACCAAAAACAAAAAAAAAACATTTATGCTCGGGTCTTAAGTTCTGTGACTCATATAGTCACCCCTTCCTTCAATATAAACCCCTTCCTAGATCAATATAAACCACTCCTAAATTTTAACTTGATCCATATATTTGTTTTTACTATTGGACAAGTGGACAAACAGATAAATACATAACATCCTTGGGAGACATAATAAATTAAACCTAAAATATTGAAATAAAAACATAATATATAATGATAAGATAAATAGATGATTGACAAATTCTTTTTTGTAAAAGCTAGTAAGAAATGGAGTACTTACTCAGTAAGTTAAAATGAAAAAAGAAAATTAATTTAAAAAAATTTAAAAATAAAAAATAATTAATCCTAATTTTATAAATACATATTTATCCTGTTTTTTTTAATTTTTTTTTTTTTGTAGGAAATTATAATATCTATATATAGATTAAACTAAAGTATAGTATCGATAAACCGGAATGCTTATTTATAATGAGTCTACTGGTATTAATTAGATAAAGTAATATGCGGCTCCTAATGGGTTTTTATCATTCCTTGATTAGATACTTTGCTTGAATTATTTTGTCCACCACTCAAATTGGTATATAAATGGTAATTTACGCATTAGGATATAATTATCAATGCTAATCGGTTAAACCCCATGTAAATTACATTCACATCTTTAAAATGATAATCTTTTGTTTTCTTAAAATTCAATTCAACCATTAAATACAAATAAACTCATTAGATTTTTTTTCTATAGTATACAACATGAAATGTGTATAGATATATTAATATTGTCTGTTATTAAACAGTTTGTGTGTGATAGTTTTTGTTCGCTATTGGTTTTAAATAAATAATATGTAAGTAAAATAATCCAAGGCTGGGCATAGACAAACAATACAAAAAAGAATGGATCATTAACAATCCAACAGGATTTCTTTATACAAATACACTCATCTTATTGATTTTCTGTTTTACTATGTAAACATTGACATACAAAATACAAACAAGAATTGAATCATTAAACTGCTGAACAGGATTTACCAAATAATAAAAACTGCTTATTAATCTGCATCAGTCAGCAAATATATTCCAAACAGACCACTCAGATCTGTATCCCAAGTGCTGTTACCTGCGACAAGTCACCCTTCACTCAAATAATTTGGCTTTAGTTCGTTTGAATACTCTGCTCCAGATCTCTGTAATAAACTTCCCCTGAATGTTCGAACTGCTTCTCCGGTCAGTTCCCTTAAATCTTGCCTCAAGACATTCCTCTTTCACCAACATTTTGATTAGTTGTTTTTCCATCTTTTTCTTTTTGACTTTGAATTGCCTTTTTATTACTCTGCTTTTCTTTTTTTTAGACACTCTAGCAGTATGCGCTATATACAGTAAGCAAAATTAATAATAATAATTAATAATGATAATAATGAAGAAACAAATCACAACAAATAAATCAGACAACTATTATATATTGTGTTATCTATATTGTTTAAAGAAAATAATAACATTTTATATCTTAATTCCATAGATTTCAGAAAAAAATGTCCATGCAAATGAATACCATTGTTATATTGTTTACTGTATGTATGATAATATAATTTTAAGTTAACAGATTCCGAAGCTTGAATGTCTAAAAGATATTGCAAAAGATAGAAATAAGTACTATGATTTTGTTTTGTTAACTGTATACACACAGGACTTACAGATACTTTACAGTAAATTGTATTCAGTTTAAATATAGTTTTTGAATATAAGTTGTTATGTACATGGTATATATTCTATACCGTTACAGTATGTAATATAAATTCTATACTCTAGTAGGCACTCTTTTCACCAAGTACAGAATAATTTCTGTGTTGGACAGAAGCAATTCTCTGTGGAAACGTAATCTTGCGGTATAATATAAATTCTCTGCTGACATAATTACTACACTGTACTGTACAAGAGAATTAATCCAATCCACACAGAAATAATTCTGTCGATGCAGAATTACATGTAGTGCATAATTAATTATGCTGTTTACACAGACTTGCATTTTATTGCATAAATATCTTTTGTAGTACATTTGAACTGAATTACATTTTTTATTTTGTACTGTCTAAAAATTCCTGGTTTTTAACCGCTAAGTCAAATGTGATTGTAGACTGCATAGTTGTCTCAGTCGTAGATTAAATCTGTCACCTTAATGTTTCTAATGCACTACAAAAACAAGGGGTTATAGCTATAGCTTTGAGGTTAAAGACCGACTCAGACAGCGTCGTATGACGAATCCTGGCGCAATTTGTTCTCAGGGTCTCTTGGTCATCGTGAGCGTATTAAACATGTTTAATATCCTATGACGTAACTGCCCGACACAGACCTACCATGCCTGCATTTAGCTAAAGTAACATGTCAGAACCGATGCAACAACAAATCGTGTTGAATTGCATCATATGATTATTGTCTGTGTTGGCCTCTAGATGCATGCCCTCCAAGTGAAGGCTCCTAGGCCAGGGTCTATTTCTTGCATCTGAAAATAACATTTCATAAGCTTAGCTTTGTGGGTGCATGATAGGTGGAGCAATTGTTGTTCAGGCTGTCAATCCCGAGGTCAGGGGTTAAATCCACACTCTGAATTTCGCTTTTATAAATGTGTTTCATTGACCTAACGTTTTACCTATGTTTGTCTCTTTCCTCCTAGGAGTTTAATTAATTAAAGATAGAGGCAGCTGGCACACCGATTGCTGCTCAGGTTTTCTACCTTGTGGTTGGGAATTTGAGCGACACACTGTCCACTTCCGGCTGTAGGTTTAGATACCTCAGCTTGCATTGTGAACAGGCTTTAAAAAATAGTTTGTGCCATGTTCCAGCCTTAAATACAAGTTGGCTACGGCCCCTGGCTTGGTTGTCGGGCATACGAAATCAGGCCCATCCTTTTGCGCTACAGGGCCTTGCTAAGGTTAACCTTTGTCCTGCATTTTCTAATAGAAAATAAATAAATACCTGCTAGAATGTAATGATATTGATGTTGTTAAAAAGGAATTTGGAAACTAAATACTAAAATAGTGTTGTACTCAATAGCTAGATTTGTGGTTTTATTTTTTACAAACAGGTAAAAGAATTTTAAGTGTGGTTTGCTATGTGGATTATTGACTCTCAAAAGGCCATTCCAAATTGTCAGTATTTCAGTCAAGGACTGAAAATCACAAGTGACTCATTCTTGGCTGACTTTTGGCTAAAAAAGTTGTCAAAGATGAGTCATAATTAGTAATATTTAAGGGGAAAAAAAGACTCAAAAGTACTGTATTCTATATTCTGATTCTTGCATTGTAACTGGGACTTAGATTAGCTCTTGAATATTACAATTAGTTTGCTATTAACCATGCATTTATTATAGTTAGTGTCAACTAATTATCCGTTGCTGCTGTGGTGTCCATGTGAGCAAGTTTATTATTCAACTTTGAGATTGAAAGGTCAGTGTATATACATAAGAAATATCACAACACAATCAATATGCCAGTAATAGTAATGTAATATATGATTTTTTTTTCTTTATTTATTGTATCCATTAGTGAAAAACAGTAATTACAGGAAGTACTGTAAGTTAAATAATTATAATTTTGAAATGCTACTAAACAAATAGACCCTAGGGTCTATTCTTTACTATTCCTAAAACTAAGATTTCTTAAATAAAGTAAAATATCACAACAGAATTAATATGCCAATGCTAGTAATGTAAATA